TTCAGCTCTGCTGAGGAGCACAGCTCCTGCTAAACTAATTTGGAGTCCAGTTCAGTGCCCATTCTTGTACAGGCTTCACTTGGCACAAAATTATTCAAGGTCGGCATTACAGCCTCATCATTTCTGTGTCAGATGACAGATGAGGCTGATGGCTTCTGCCTCAGCTGTCATCGGGGCACCCATGAAGAACTAGCAAGCAGTCAGAGCTTTCCTGCAAAGGCCCAGCTTTCCTTGCTTGTGGTGGCATAACAGCACAGGTGTCTCTTAATCAAATCCAGTGGCACTGCTTTCAGGCAAGATGAGCACAAACTGCATGGTATTTCTCCTGCAGCTTTGCAGGAAACACTAAGGCTTCCAGTAAAACTTAAACAAAACATCCAGACGCTCTCCTCTAAAGTGGAAGCATACAGAAAATGAGCAGCAAACTTCAGCTGAATAGCTGCCATTTTGTAAACAAGGACTCAATACACAACTCTGATGAAAGGTGTTCTCTTATCATTGTATTTTATACTGCAAACAAAAGCCAGCTTGACTGTGGCCCATGGTGGAGACTCCAGCAGTACAGACAGATGGCAAATCTGGGATATCATTTAGAGAAGAGGAGTTGGTTTCTATACCCCCGCTTTTCTCTACTTTTAGGAATCTCAGAGTGGCTTACAATCTCCTTCCCTTCCTCTCCCCACAACAGGCACCCTGTGAGGTATGTGGGGCTGAGAGAGTTCCAAGAAAACTGTGACTGGTCCAAGGTCACCCAGCAGGCTTCATGTGGAGGAATGGGAAGTCAAACCTGGTTCTCCAGATCAGAGTCCGCTGCTCTTAACCACTACACTACATTGGCTCTAAAGGTAGCAAATGTCATCCAAAATATGCCACCAATGTGGACCCTAAACCTAAGGTATCTATCTGTCTGTTGTACAACCTGCCTCTTAGATCACTGCTTTATGAAGTCTATATGAATCACTCATCCCTAGACTCATATTGGAAGCACTTCTCCCTTCTGACAGAGGAAGAAGTTCTCCATGTACAGTGAGAAGCACACTCCAAACTTTTTGTTTGTTTGTTTTGCCTCAGGTGGTGAAAAGGTTGACGCTGTTCCTGGTAATAGGACTTCAGTCTCATAGTTATCATATCACATCCAAGGCTTCTTAGGCCACCAGAGTGGGAAGGACCTCTGCCGGAGGGCTTCTGCCAATTACAGTTGGAGTCATTGGCCATGGAATTGCAACTCCTTAGCAAAAACCCACTGAAAGGTTAATAGTGAGCTGTTGGGAATTACATATCAGAGATAATATTTAGTAAGCAGCTGACAAGGGCCACCCTAGGGTCCTCAGTGACAGAGCAATTGGAACACACGCCTCCCAAGGATCCATGACCCAAAACATCTGACACTTTTTCCAGGGGAAGCAGCAGGAGACTCTCAACAGCAATTTATCTGGATGCAATATAATGTGCCATAATTCTCCTTTACCATGTGTACATATGAATCAGCATATAGTACACATTTTAAGATCAGCAGAAAACAAACCATTACTGTGAAGTATAAACCAGCTTTAATTCTTTAAAAAACTGCTGGTAAGATTCTGTCTAGCTTCAGAGTTTGTGCTAGGGCTGCCAAGTTCCCCCGGGGGGCAGAAATCCCCCCGCCCCAGAGGCCCGTTCCCCGATGCCGGGGAATCGGGCCCCGGGGGGAACCCCGCCCCAGCGTGCGCGTCACAGAGAAGTGACGTCATGATGACGCTGGGCACGCTGGGGGTAGGGCCAAGGCTATACAAGGGAAAACTCTATGGTTTTCTCTTGTATGGTCATGGCCCTGCCCCCAGCGTGCCCGGCGTCATGACGTCACTTCCCTGTGACGTGCATGCGGAGCGCCGGGATCCGCACGGGAGTCCCCCGCCGGCAAGGTAAGTGCCACTTGGCAACCCTAGTTTGTGCCTCTCTTAGCATTACAAGGAGTGATCGCTTAAAATTAAGCTGAACTTCTAGTCCCAATATCTCTTTCAAGGTTTTTAAAATCAATATCTGCTTTTCAACAGCTCTTCAAAAAAGTGTTCCAAAATAGGTCCCAAAGGAACAGGATAGGCAGGCATGAGACATCCTGTTTTTAAAAAGACCAAAGCATAAAGAACATCATCATCATCAACATGGACACATACCCTTTTAAAATGATATCATCTCATCTTTAGATAGCTACGAAGAATCAGTCAGGCAGCTTTCTCTTTGCAAATGTAGTTCTCTATCTTAATACCCAGTGAGATAAACACAAACTCGTACTACACTTGAAATATCACAGCAACAGCTGGCATCCAGTAAATGCCGCAAAACATTCTTGTTCTCTTCTCAGAGATAAGCAGCCAATGTTTCATTATCACCAGGAAGCATATTCAGCTAATCATAGCCCACAATTCAGATATTTATTTTTTTTAAAAAAATTATTTGAAAAATAAGAAACTTTCCAGATCCTATGGGTCTTATCCAGAGGACTCTGCAGTAGCAGATGAATTAGTCAAATGACTGTCCCAACACAGATCCCAGATCTAGTGGTAAGGAATTGCTGTTTCCCAGAATTCAGCTTGGGAGATGCAGTTGATGGAAAATATCCCAGCAAATTAGATATTGCAGCTGTTCTGTCATAAGGATGCCCTTGTGCTGGTGTCACAGGCTCCATCCAAGAACCCTCCCCACCTGCTTCTCCACACCATGTTGAATTCTTACAGTTTTCAAGAAGCACGTGGCTTCTTTTCCATCTTCCTCCCCCAAAGTTCATGAAACCCATCTGTTCAGCATATGTATCTTTCACACACACACACATATATAAAATTTATAAAGAACATCCATTGTGCACAAGGCTGTCTCTCTCCTTCCATCATCCAGGAATGTAATTTTTGTAGTCAGAGTAAATAAAGAACCAGAAAGGGGTGGAAATATTTCCCCATACAACCCGAACCAGTGAAAACAGCATCTGCCTAGAAAGAATTTAAGTTTTACAGAGGAACTACTGGAGAAGCATTAATTATTGAGGAGAAATGCTCTTTTTAATCAATGATTGTTTATTCATCTCAAGTTACAATTCCCTGCGCGCTTACTTGAGAGTAAGCATTACTGAAATGTACTGAACTTACTTCTAAAGAAATATGCTCTGGATCATCAGAGTGCCTGTATTTTTAGTTCTTATATATAACAGAATACAAACCAGATTACATCCTGTTGTAGATATGGTTTACCGTATTGCTTTGGACTTACAATTTCACAGGGAAAACTCTGTGCAGCATTTAATTAATCAGCTATGATTTGGTGAGGAAACGATACCCAACATTCCATTAATTAGATAATTGCTTCTCAGCCTCAAAATAGTCCAAACAAACCAATCATTCAGAAGAAGCCTATCATTAAAAGCAGTTTAGCAGGAATTAAAAAAAAAGAAAGAAAAGAAACAAGCTTGATTTGCCAGGATGTCATCTCACCTCATTCATTTTGGGAATTTAGCATTTAACCCACTGCTTCTTAGGCTGTCCTCCTAAACATGTCTACTTAGAAACAAGTTCCACTTAAAAATCACCGATGCCTTACTTCCAAGTCTCTGTGTTCAGGGTTGGGCCAGCCAGTATCCTTTCGCTATCCTTTCCTGGATTCCTCAGCCTTGGCTGTTGTGGACATGCTGTGTTTTAACAGATGGGCTGGGTGGCAAACTGCAGGCTGTAAACTAGCAAGCAGTGTGGAATCCGCACTGAATGATATTGAACTGAATGCTCGTAAAGTTCACGGACACAGGCAGACTCAGACCTGCACACCATCTCTCTCTCTCTCACACAGCCCCCCCCCCCCAAGAACACACACAGCACTCTCCAGTCTCTCCCCATCCCCCCCCACCTATCTCGGGAAAGTTCAAGACTTGGCATTAGGAATTACATCCGCCTCACACACATTAAAGCCCCATTTCTGGCATAAGCGAAGGAGGAGGAGCAAACATACCACAGCCATATTTACCTCTCCTGATAAATTAGCATATATTAACAAACAAATAAACATGGATTAAACAAACAGAGATACAGGATCACAGCTGAACATGTAAGGTTACATTTTACACTGTTTTTCTGAAACCTATCCCTTGTCAAATAAGTTACATTGTGGGGTGGGGGAGCATTCTTCATCTATTGCAATAAATAGTGAATTGCTACAAGTATATAATTACCATATGAAAAATATATATTCTTAGCTCTTACTATGCTTGGATAGGAAGAAAACAGACACCAAGATGGATTGGTAACATGATTCAAGCAATCCAGCGTTTGTCAGTTTGTGTTTACAACCAAATTGTTGCCATGATGTGTTATATTTGTAGATGCACACACAAATTTAATATACAGCAACTGGGTCCTGCATTGTGTATGGTGTGTCTTCGTGTTTACTTTGAGAATCATCTGTATTACACAACTGGCTAGTTTCACAGGCCTATTCTAATTATCTTCATTGATAATTATTACTTCTGTAGATTGAAACACAGTAATATTGTGCTTTGAATTACAGAGCTGGAAACGAAATATTTGCCATGAACACAATTCCCGTGAGGGGACACCCTTAAAAAAAAGTTCTCATCTTAGAGATCACACCCACCCACAAACCCCATCTGAACTAGTTGCTCTCACCACTGTAACTGCTTGCCCTTGCCAGAATTATTTTCACTAAAGGTACCCGAGACACAAAAAAGGGGAAACCCCAAGATAACAAAAATTCTAAATGGGCATTTCCTGAATTCGTTGCCAAAAGAAAGAGTTTGGAGTGCACGCACAATCCCTGCCGTGTTTTAAACAGCCCGTTGGCAGCACACACAGGTAGAAAACTAGTTGCGGGGCTGGCTAGGGGCACAGCCCGGCCCCCGTGGAGCCTCTGGGCAGCAGAGATCCCCAACACGCACCGCCTAGACGCCCATAAGACAGACAGACAGACTGGCTAACCCCCCCCCCCGGGGGGGGGGAAGAATAGGGTGCGAGAGAGGAACTCACCCTTTTGCGCCCCTCCGATTCCTCTCGAGGAGTCCCACTCCTCAAGGCGCAGCGGTCCCGGCTTCGGAGACGCCTCGAGCGCCGCCCGAGAGCATCCCTGCCCCAGCGGGCTTTCAGGCCGGGACGGGAAGCCGAGCAGCCACGTCCGTCGCGCCCACCCTCTGACAATTCATTGACCTCCCGCCGAGCGCCAGCCTAGGCGAGCGAGGCGGCCGCACAGCCGGCAGACAAGAGAGCAGAGCCGGGGGCGGGCGGTGGGCATGGCCAGCTCTCCTGACGGGCAGCCAGGCTTCCCTCGGCACGGGATGGGCGGGCGCCCAAGGCGAGAAGAAGGCGCCGGCCGGACAAAGGGCGGGCGGCTGGGACGCCGGGAGGGGTGGGGACCCCTGGTGGACAGAGGGCGGAAGCGCAGCTGGAAGCAAGAGCAAGGTGGGCGCCCGAGGGAAGGCGCAGCAAACACAACCCCCCCCCACCCCACACACACAATTCGTGTTTATTTGTCCTCCTCTAAAGGAAGTTGTTGCCGCCTGACATCTGCTCGGACACCCCTCCTTCCTCCTCCACCAAGCGAAAATAATCGGTCATGTGCCTAAGAAACAGATTTCATACTGAGCTGAGAAGAGGAGCGTTTCTTTTCAAACCCAACTTCTCCAATCAGGCTAGTCGCCTTCCTCGCAACAAGATGCTGAAAGTCACGGGCTTACTTTGCAACGGGAGAGTTGCAAAAGGAAGGGGTACAAGCGGGCGGGACGGAGAATGTCCCCTTTGAGTAAGCTATGAAGTTAAGGACCACAGAGGATCTGTCGAAGTGGCGCTTTCCGAAATGGGAATGCAGGATCCTTGCTGTGTTCACTGTATTCCTTGAAAGCAACGGTCCACACATACCGTTTAAGAGACAGGTGAGTGTCCCCCCCCCCAATGCAGTGCTGCCTGGGATCACCTACAGTGGCAGAAAAGGGGCTGCCAACTTCCAGGTAGGTCCTGGAGATCTCCAGAAATTACAATTTACTGCCAGATGACAGAACAGTTCCACTTGGGGAAAAAAACAATTGTTTCAGAGGGTGGACTCTGCTGGGGTCCCTCCCATACCCATACCCTGCCCTCCTAGGGCTCCACCCCCAAATCTCCAGGAACTTCCCAACCCAGATTTGGCAACCCTAAGACTCCCCACCATCATCTACATCACTGAGTTCCAAAACCCAGTGGGACTTCTGGAGAAGACCGTTTCCATCTGGATTTTGCTGTCTGTGCACCTTCCAGTCCTAGCATAACTCTGCAGGCTCAGCTACCATCTGGCTTGAGCCATTCACTTCCACTGCCTTAAGGTAACTTTAGGAAAGAATTTAGACATTTCCGCCCAGTAGCAGTTCTAGGAGAAAGCATGCATTACACTCACTTGCCCTTGGCAAACTGGGCAGGTGCAGGATGTCTCTGTGTGCTACCCAGCCAGGTTTTTCTGCCAAGCTCCACACATATAGCAGTAGCATACCGAAAAATAACCCCAATCAGGACTGGCTTCAGTACGTACATATACTCCACCAGCTGAATGATGAACATGGAAGCTGGCATAGGTTTTCCATATGAACTGCAAATGACATACAAATAGATCCTCACTGACACTTCATGGATGGGTAACTTTTCCTGGTACAGTTGCTGCCATTTACATCATTGGTACCCTCCCAATCAGGGACATGTAAAGACTTCTCTGGCCTCTTTACAAATCACACAAACATGGCCCTTCCAAGAAGTTCAGGTGCCACATGATAAGAAGCCAAACCCCATGAGCAGAAGTATTTACACACACACTGATTGGCGTGGGACTCCCCTGGAAGCAACCACACCAGGAAAAAAGGATATTTGAAAGCATGCTGGGATTAATTCTGGCTCCAGACCACTTTGAGTTTTGTGAGTACTCTTGGACCCACAATATATTGTCTGCCACTAATGGCTAATGCAGTCTTGGCCACCATGACATGGGTGCAGAGTAGAACTCTATGGGGAAGTGCCCTTTTAAATCACAACCATTCCATTCTCACATTCACCCTTACCCAACAAGGGTGATCAGTGCCTCAAAACGATGGATGGGAAAACCCACATCCAGCTGTTGGAACTGAACATCGTTGTGAGATCAAGGCTACACCCATATACTAGTGGACCAAAGATAGCATCACGTGCCAGAAGTGTGGGAGGGCTGATTCTCATCACCTTTCGTCTCTCTTATTACAGGTGATCATAAGTGATAGTTTATGCAGGGAGAAGAGCCTTGTGTTTAACTGCATGAGCACAACCCACTGAAGCATAAAAGTTTGGACTAAGGCCATCACCTTAAAGCACATCACGACAATTTTATTGCAACTCGCTTCAACAGAATTGTTTTTTGCACCACAGATTTATAATTGTGCAGCAAAGGTTTAAAAATCTCACTTTTAATACAGGCCAGCTATGAAGATGCATGAGTTCATAACTGTAATGTTCAAAGTACTTAGTAAAAAGAACACAAATTGCAATCAAAGCACCGAGAAGTATCAAAGAGTTGAGATGAATGAAGGGAGGGAAGGATTTAAAGAGCAAGGGAGAGAGAGTACATAAAGGGAATATTAATCTCCATTTACCAACATTTTGTCTTTGCGAAAGATCTTTACAGAAAAGCGAACATCTAAATTGGCTACTGAAATATTTAATTTTCAGCATTAATGAATAATTATCCTTTTTAAAATACTCTTTGAGTTTGCTGGGAAAACACAGTCCTTCAAAGAGTTCCTCTTAGAAGAAAGAGAGATCTTAAAAAGGCTCCTCTGAAAGACTGAATTAACTGGAGGCTCAGATTGAATACCATTGTATAGAGCATCTCTTAGTCCTTCATTCAAAGCAAGTGCACTTAATCTGAAGTGGAACCCTCTCAACTTGTTGTGTCTACATGTTCATGGGGGTAAAAGCAAATTGCATCAAGGGCTGTCACACAAAGCGGCTGCAAGGTCCCTTCTTCATTTCAATTGCCAGCTCAGGATAGTTGCACATTGGGATACTTAATGAGACATACTAAAATGTTCCAGCGTAAGATCAATTATATAGAAACAAGATCAACAAAGAGGTTAGATTTATAATTCTTCAGTCCAGCTGTAAAAAGAAAGGTTTGGTTCAAACACAACAGAAAACCATGGTTGATTTGTTTCATTATTAAACCAGAAAGGGACCTACAGATTATCTTTGCAACTTGGTGTGGCTCACCAGTTCCTGGTTTCAGCAGGGCCAGTCTTTTCCCCACCTACCGCTGCTCTCAGAAAGGCAAGGCTCTGCTGAGCCATGCCCTCCTTCACTAAGACCAGCACGGGAAGCTGCTAGGGCAAAGCTAAATTTAATAAAAGAACATCATTTCTCAGAATGAAGATATGGCATTTTAATGCAGTCTTTTTCAAAATTTTATTTTGGAGCATTCGATGTGAGAGGAGAAAATGTAACACCCCAGAGAGGTGCTTGTTTTTGAGATATTCCTGTTTTTCCAAGAATGAAGCCAGAGGCATACTGAGAATGTTCAGTCTTACTTCAGGATTAACTGGTGTTCTGCTGGTTCTGTAGCACTAATGGGGTTGATCTGATATATTGCTAGAATAGCATGAGCATTAAAGAGCTTAAATTTTATGAACAAATACACATGACTGAACAGACTGTAGTGCAGAGGTGTCAAACGCATTTGTTACAAGGGCCGGATCTGACATAAATGTCACTTTGACGGGCGGGGCTTTGTGTGCCATAAAACACAATGCTAGGTACCAGAGGTAGAAACTGTATAAAGAACAGCAGCTAGTAAGCTCCGAGTTGGTGTATTCTTACTGGAAGGCCCCATGGGCTGGGAGGAGGGTGCAGAGGAAAACCCACATGGGCGGACTGGAGAGGCAGCAGTGCAGAGTTGGGCAGATGCTCCCATGATGCTTGACTGCTGCAGAGGACGTTTTTCTGTCCTGTTGAAGCCACAATGGAGTGGCTCCACCCACTCCCCCCCCCTGCACTCCCTCCCTTGCATCAGTTGCTCAAGGGCCACATAAGAGCCCTGGACGAGCCAGTTACGGCCTCCGGGCCTTATGTTTGACACCCCAGCTGTAGTGCATACAAGCAACTAATTTTTTAAAAAATCTATCATCAGGGAACAATAACTAAATCCAGTTGTCAGAAAAGTGATGCTGCTGTTCTGGGATAGCAACCAATTGTTTTCAACAAGTGCAGTCATTGTCACCCAACACCTAACAACAAGTGCAGTCATTGTCATCTAAATAGGTGCTCTTTGTCCACTTTGAATACAAGTTACTGAAATGCATTGCCTCTATGAGGCTGTCAGTGAAGAGCATATTAATTTAGGTGAATATTTTATCTGCTAATGAGAAATAGCTTTACCTTAATTACAACACCAAGCCATTTAGTAGCCAGAGAGTAAATTTATTTATTTATTTCATTAAGCTTCTATACCACCTTCCTCACAAGCAGGCTCAGGGAGGTGCACAACAAATTTGTATAAAATACATATAAAATAAGTTAATCTAAAATCCTGATCCATAAAATCTAACATTTATATGGTGCCATAATACAATTTTCTGCCCCCCCCTACATTAGCATGGGGGAGAGAGGGGGTGAAAAGCAGGTAATAAGCCAAATAGAAGGGGCCTTGCTATGCAGTCTGATGAGCTTCATCATCATCACAAAATCAATTTAAACATGTAAAGTTGCGTCTTCATTTACTTCTTACAATTCTAATATTATACTTATTTGGAAAGCAGCACAAAATTATTTATGCACTGCTTGCAACCCATTCATTTCTTTCACCTCTTGCCACCAACTTGCAACTCGATGTTCAATAACTGCTTCTCCAATTTTTCTATATCCACACGATGCTTCATCAGAAAATGCCCATTCAAATGAAAGACTGGTATGTCATTTTTGTACCTTTCATACCAGGCCATTTGATCTGGAAGGGTAATGTCCACTTCCTGCAAAATAAACTTTTAGAAACAACTAAATTACTATATAAACAAAAACAAACAAGCAACAACAAACTTCTAAGCATGCATATTTTAAAAGGAAGTTGCACTGAAATAATAAGTTTAGTTCCAAGAAAATACATTTAGGATCAGCTGATTTGGTTCAAATTTGATCATAATTGTTATTTCTGTAAAAGTGGAGCCAGCTTTTTTAATGCAGAGGGCACTTTTGAGAATGGGGATCTGGGGGTTCCAGTAAGCATCTGTACTACAGAGGTGACTGCAAATGTAATGCTCAAACTGTTTAGCTCCAAGGTACACAATATTAAGTGATTATGAAATCTACAGCTTGTGTATCAATAAATGATGCGGATTTTTGATCTTGTTGCAAGCCTCTTGTACAAGTAGAACAGTAGTATTGTTTTACTCTTTTTTTTTTTAAGTCTGGTGACGTAGAACGTTTTGTGGGAATTAGGTGGAACAAGTTAGATCCTCAAACATGTATTTTTTATATCTTTCTGGAATTTCTGGATTTCAGTGCCTGAAGTTTTCCTTGCATGATCTGTCAGGCACATTTTATATCTGGTTCTTCTTGCTGCATTTATCTCTGGATGACTGTACAGGGACAGACTGGCCAGCCTATAGGCCTCCAGGTACTAATGCATGCAGAGGTTGTCTTCAGAAGTTGCCATCGCCAGTTAGGCTTTTTGGCAGATCTTAGTAAGGTTTGTAGCTGCTGGAGGGAGGCAAGACATCCATCACAAGACAGACTTAGCTAACAAATTCTGCAGCTTTTGGTTTCTCTGCCTAGCTGAGTCCACTTGTCAATCCCTTCAATCAAGAAGCAAAATCCATTGTTCTCCAAATTAGAATGACTTTCTTCATGCTAACTCATTTCTTCTGAGTAAAGAAGCCAATTAGTATCACCTGTAACATGGAAATACACTCTTGAACTCATTCCTATTAAATAGGAAGTAGTCACATTATTTCTATAAAAATGTATTTAGGATTGCAATTGGATTTTCGTGCAATATCTGCCAACAGGCTCGGCTTCTGTTTCAGTGATGAGTGACAAACAGCTTTTATTATGGTGTTGTTGCACCTTGTTTTTCATCTATGCAACTGAGTCTTAATACAGCCCAAATCCACATAGAACAGATGACAGAATGACCACATGTGGAATACAATGGGAGTTATGGGTACGGGGTGTGCAAAATGCTAAAAGTCTGATTGCTGCTTTTTTCCAGAAAATAATTGGGGGGGGGGGATCAAGATTAACTTGAAAGAGAAAATTTGTTCTTACATGAATGGCCCAGATACATGGAATTTGAGACAAATCACAAAGCCTGAAAATACTCAGCAGTGATCTGTTTTATGAGGATAAAATGAAAACCGATTGAAATAATTGCTTGGAGAAAGAAACAGGTTTGCAGATAAAGCCAGACTAAATTTCATTCTCCAAAAGGAATTTCTGATTTTCTCTACATGTTGTGGATTCTTGTGTTCATATAAATACAGGACTGTGTTAATTACCTTATGTTTATATGGCTCTAGCACTGCTTTGGCTTCATCACATAAGGGACATGGTTTCTAGGAGGAGAAAAAAGAAACAGACAATAATGCTAAGAAATAACTGAGCACAATCTTCATCAATGCCTATACCCTATTACACAGATGACTTTGGATTTTATAACACAGAATAAAAAGGGAGAGGGTGCAGGGTCAAGAAAGACAGGAACATCCATTCTCTAGCTCCTTCCCCCACACTTCACCCGACAAGCCAGTCTACGGTGTGTCAAGACTACAAATCATATGGCCCATGGTGAGGCGCATGCAGAGTAAAAGATCAGAAGCACATGACATTGTCAGTGAGTCACTGCACTTGCCATGAGTACACAGCTGTACAAGGCAGAAGCAATACATACGTGGGTGGATCCTACCCCTATCCAACCACTCTGCTGAGCAAAGCATGATGCCTTCCTCCAGTCTCAGGAGCCTTCGTCTGGCATAAGCGTCACTTCATTCAGTAGAAGCTGAAGGAAGTCTTCTAAGGATGGATCTGCTCCATTAACCCTTTAAATGTGTACCCGTGTCTGCCCTTTAACGTGTGAGGCAGCTGGCAAAAGGAAGAGTGGGAGTAAGGGTAAAGGACACAAGGTGCTCCTGTGACCCTCTTTCACTGGCACTTCAATCAGGAAAAAATACCTGTTTGCTTTCTGCACAGTGAACACTCCACTGTCTGAAGCCATGATATGCAGTATGAAAGCACTCAGAAACATTTGATGGGGAGCCACAATTGCTTTGCACATGTTTACTGCATGTTTACAGATGCATGTCTTCCCTCCAGAGTTATAGTATTCATCCCTTGGACTCAATGTGGATGCACTAACTTGCGTCTTCCTTGCCAAGTATGAAGCTCCTTTAAGAAGCTCCAAAGACAGTTGAAAAGGATGGGAAATTCCATTCATTGATTCTGTCTCCTACAGGAAAAACCTGTGGGCCTTTCAAGCTACTGTGATCATTGCTAGTCCACAGTGGTCTCTTCGTGCAAAGTTACTCCAGTCTAAGGCCACTTAAACCAGAACCTTCCTCAGCCAAGTGGAGAGACTTCACTTTCAAATCACAGAAATAACTTTCAAAGAGGCCTTATCTTTATTCAGCTACTGTCAGGGACAATAAAACTTTAGAATGTGCTGTAGTGAGAGTTCATATTTCAGAAAAGCGAGATGATAACAAAGGATTTCTCTCCTTCCCTTTACCATAAAAAATGCTAAAGCTACTGCACAGTATCCCATTCTCAGAAAAGGGATCCCGCTCCAGTGGGAACCCTCTCTACAAATAATACTATTACTGGTAAGATTCTCAGCAGCCTGGCTTTAAGCTACTCTGATGGGACACTCAAGAACTTTTAGGCAACCTTAATTCCCTTCCAAGAGTCCTCAATTGCTTCAGCTGTAAAAGGGAAACTGAATTTTCTACAGAAGAAACATTCAGACCTGCTGGGCACCAAGAATATGAAATGGCAGGTTTATCCCTTCAGTGCATTCTGCCCTCCTTACTTAAAAACATATCTGAGGCTGGACTGAGTGGCTCCAAGCTGGGAACACAAAATTAGGCTATTATAAAAAGCCTGCATTTTAGAGAGATAATTTTGCTCTGCAATCGCCAGTGATCCCACACATCCTCTGCTCAAAAAAAAAAAAAAAAAAAGCACATTAACGCATGCATACATTTAACACAGGGGGCAGTTTAGAATACTATTTCCAGTTTGTTAGTGACAATTTGCCCTTAAAATTTCAAACTGTTAAGACTCGGCATGTGCTAAAGCATCACAAAAGGCTTTTCCTCTACCCAATTATTAACCTCTAAAAGTAATCCTGTTATTCACCACCTCATTGCCTTCTGGATTATAAACTGCACAGCCAGCTGGCAGAGACAGGCCTGCGACTTTAACATTTTCTCGTAGAAAGACCTGTTTTGAACAATGCGCCCAATAAAGCTTTGACTTGGCTTAATTGGATCACATTAACTAAATAAAATACTCTGGAATCAGATTTACCGTTCATTCTACAAAGCCAACAGTCCTTTCTATCCATTTTTAACCACTTTCCTATAAATTCTCATTGCATTCTGACAAACCAAGCATTTGTTTTGCAGATGAACC